GAAGGAGGGAGAGGGAGGGAAAGAAGGGAGGGAGGGAGGGAAAGAAGGGAGGGAGGGAAGATCTCACACCACAGCCTGGAAGATGCCAAGCAGCACAGAAAAGCAGAAGCTGGAGGGCTCCGGACCACCTTCCTGCCAAGCTATGTGAGTTGGTTAATAAAGAACAAGGCAGGCACGTGTATGTGATCAGCTGAGGCACCACCTCAATACAGGAAGATTCAGGAATCCTGGGTGAGGGTAGGGGAAAGATTAAGATGGAGAGCTTTGAAAACCCCTCCATATTCCCTCCGAAAAAAATAGGACAACGAGGATGGCCAAACTCACTTGAAGTTAGTGTTCAGCGTGGCGCCAAGCCTCAGAAGATGGGGGAGGGCCAGGCTGCTAGAGGTCCAAGGACCCATGTGGGGTCAGCTGCTTGGTGAAAGTAGCGGAGGGAAGAAAAATGGGGATTCCTAGGTTAAGAGCTCCAGGCTCAGAAATCTCCAAGAAGTGGCCACTCTCAGAGAAGGGTGCACTAAGCCCTGGACCAGGGGACAGGGAACAGAGGCCCACAGGTGCCAGCTTGTGGGTGATGATGACAAAACACTAAGAAACCCACGTGAGGTCTGCTGAGATCTCAGCATCCCCCCTGCCCAGATCCTCCCAGAATGACAGCGGCTCACAGAGAGCAAAACTGCTTGTGGCAGGAGCCAAACTGGACAGGCAGGAAAAAGGACGAGGGGACAGAGGGCCCCGAGAGCAGAACATTATCGGTGTCTAGAGGGGCCGCTCAGGGTCAGAGGTGACCGCATGGAGAATCAGCAGTGGTAGAGAAGCAGGTAGAACAAGAGCCCCACCGACTCCCAGCCTAAGGCACAACAAAGCCTCCTCTTTTCAAATGAGCGACGGAACTCTGTGCAGACATCTCCAGATAAAGTCTACAAATGAGAACCATGTAACCCTGGCTAAAGGCATCTCCACAATGGCCACAGAGGAAAAGGAACAGACCATATCGCATGGTTTCTCTTATATGAGAAACCCAAATATAAAGGAAGCAAAATAAAAGATAATAGGAAGCAAGGAGACAGATCTTTCTCGAGTGGAAAGGGGTCAAGAGGCGGAGGTGGAGGGAGAAGTGAGGGAAGGGGATGAAAATGAATTCAGCTGTGTTATGTTCTGCACCAACTCCACACAAGGAATGCAATCATTATGGGCTGCAAACATGAACGAGGAAAGGAGAGGGAGAGAGAGACCACCAGGCTCTTGCTAGTCGAGTCTGGCCTCCAGCTCACAGCAATTTTCATGCCTCAGCCTCTGAGTGCTGGGATTACAGGGTGCACCGCTACTCCTGGTCAAAAACTCACTTTAGAAATAAAGAGCAAACTAGATGAAATAACAAGCCCACACCATAGAAAACATAGTGACAGAAATGGAAGAGAAAAATACATCAGATAGAAACAAAGAATTTGCGAGAACATACAGGGGATACAGACAAAGTTCTGATATATAGTAAAATGCAGTTCTGAAGCCGTAATGACAAATCCATGAGTGATGGGAGTGAAACTCCAGATATCCTGCCCTACCCAGCCCTGGCCTCTGCTCCCTGCAGCGAATGCTTGTGGGGAAAGATGAATGGGTTTTAACCCAGAAGGGAAAAAAGTAGATATGAAAGTCAACTCAAAAAGAGGGCTGTGAGTGTGTGTGTGTATGTGTGTGTGTGTGTGTGTGTGTGTGTATCTGGGGATTTAGCTCAGTGACACTATGCCTGCCTCTCATGCACAAGGTCCTGAGTTCGATCCTTGGTACCAAAAAATGAAATAATAAAAGAAATTTGGGAAAGGAAATCAAATCAATGCAATAGAATTAATCTTAAAAACTGTAATTAAAAATTTGGGGGGGAATAAAACACTTATTACATGCATGGTCACAGTAAACAACTAGACCTGCTATTTGGGGGAACCCAGGGCCTCATGCATGCTAGGCAATCACTGCCATTGAACTGTGTCCCCATTCCCCTCTGTATTTTCAATTTTTATTTCAAAACAGGGTCTCACTATGTATCCCATGCTGGCTTCAAGCTTACATTCCTACCACCTCAGCATCCTGAATGGCTGGAATCACAGGTGTGTGCCACCCACCCTGCTAAGAGCTAGACTTTAAAAACAAAGGAGGACTTCCAGGAAGATGGGGGGCAGGCAGCAATGGGTCAGCCTCTTCAGAATTTGGAATTCAGACACTGAAAAATAATAACTTGGGGAAGAAAAGAAGACAGGAGGTGGAGTCCTGGGACCCAGAAAGAAGCTGACAGGAAAGTTGTGGCCTATCAAAGAACTGTAGACAGAATGTAACACAGAAAAAGGAAGGGGCAATCTGTACTTTCTCCCTGGCTCCTGCCTTACAA